ACAGAGCCGCTTCCGCTTCCGCTCACGCTACGCACACACCAGGATGACGTCAGACGCCCCGCGCTGGCCCCGCCCACGCCGTGGCCGCGGGGCTCCCCGCCTACCGGTTGCCTGAATGCCTGCTAGCTGACACAGATCCCCCGACCCTCGGAGGTTCGCCTCCCGCTGCCTGACCCCGGCGGCTCCACCGGGTTGGGAACCTGGAATGTCGAGGAGTCTCCCACGGGCTGGGACCTTCATCCGGCCGGACTCCTCAAGACCTTGCTTTGGACTCATCGGCCCGGCCCGGCCCCCCTCGACCGCCGGTTCCCTGCCAGTTGGCCTCCTTTCTAGCGCCCTCATTCTGCCTTTTAGGGTTCGTAGTGGAGGAGGAAAGCCCCCGCCCCGCCAGCTGCCCGGAGAAATGAGGGCAGCTGTAGACCGGAAGGTATTCAGCCCGAGTAAACAACATATGCAAAAATCACATCGAGTGCAAGAGTGAGGTTCTTGAAGTAGCAAACATTTATTTAATTCCTATTTGCCAATCCTGAGCTAGGGGCCTGGGAATACAGAGTTAAGTAAAACAAGATTCTAGTCCTCTAGGCACTACCGGTCTTGGAAAGGGAGGCAAACAGGTCAAGTGGCAATTCCAATACTTGGTGGGAGTTACAATACTGGAGGTAGACACAGAGTGTGCAGTGCAAAAAACGAAGGGCATGAACATCTGCTGCCTACTTTTGTGTCAGGCACTCTATCACCTTTGTTCCATTTAATTATTCACTGATAGTTATGAGAGACAGGTATAGATATCCCCACTTACCACGTGAGGAAAAGGCTCAGGGAGGTGAACTTAGTTGCCCAAGGCTCTCCACTAGTCTGTATTAGAAGCAAGAATCAAACAGGTTTGGCTTCAAAATTCCAGGACTTTAGTACTATACCCAAATCAACCAGCTTCAGGGAGCCAACAGTTCACAAGAGAAGGTGGCTTCTGAACTGAGTCTGGAAAGAATCCTTGACATCAATCAAGCAAAGGGGAGTCAGGGGTAGTGTTAAGGGCAAGGAATATCTTGAGCAAAAGTGGAAGAATATATTTGAGGGAAGAGTAGGGGAGGATAAACAATTTGTTCCTCAGGAACAAATATCAAGGAAGGGGGCAGGTTTGTGAGTCATGATAAAAAGCCTAAACTTTATCCAATAATCTTTGAAGGGCCTTAATCAAGTAACTGACTTGATGTGATTTTCATTTTATCTCTGGAAGATGGTTTAGGAAAGGGCAGGAAGAAAGGTCACTTTTTGCAAGAGCCTACCATTCAAAGGGGAGAGAACGTGGCTTTAAGCTAATGTAGTAGCAGTGGAGGTGGAGTGAAGTAGATGAGTTCTAGATATACATAGGAAATATAACTGGCAGGACTTGTGGATTGATAAAGATACATTGAAGAGGTGAAGTCAGCAGGACTTGTTAATTGAAGCAGGGGGTGGGGGGGAGGTGATGGAAATGGGAGTCTAGAATGACACTTAGCTCTCTGGCTTGGTTGGAAAAAGCATAGTATATTTATTTATCAAGAAGAAATAAAAGGATTGGGAAGGAAGAAGAGTGATGAAGTATTGAGAACTGCACATCTTGCATTTGAGGTATCAATCACTGTTGGATAGAAAGTCAGATTTAGTAAGATGGTGATGGCTGTGCATGCCAGTCATTGATTTGTTCCAGGGGACAATGGATAGTGAGAGCAAACGACTAAATAAGGACGCAGTAGTGAAGTACATCAATGAGGAAGCAGAGAAAGAGGAGGAGGAAGAGGGAATGGTCAGGAAAGAAGTTAAGCCCTAGAAGCTAAGGAAAGAGAGGGAGTGGGCAACTGTGACAGAGGGCCATAAAGTAAAGATTGGGAGGAGTGCACGTGATGAAGCAGCAGGGAGACCATTGTTTCTGTGTCAGGGGAGGAAAGAGTAAAAATTGAGAACTGAGGTCTCATTGAAATGAATTGAGATGGAAACACAAAGTAAAATTGTGTACACAGACTGTAGACAACCCTTAGGAAAAGCCTGGTTGCAAAGAGAAAGAAGGAATGGGGGGTGGGGTGTGCTCCCAAACACTACTGGTTATAGCATATGTAGAGGAACCTGAGGCAGGAGCAGGGAGACCTAGATGATGGAGCAGGGTAAGGTTGGGAGTCAAGTCATGCTCACAGCACTTCACGGTTAGGGATGTAAGCTGTCTGCAGCAGTCAACAGGTGAGGGGTCAGCAGGGCTTCCAACAGTGCAGAATAAGGAAACAAGCTACCAGCTGTGGGACAGGGGATAGGCCCTCTCCCACCAGGAGAGGGTTAAGGGTTGATTAATGTCTTCAGCAAAGCTGGGAAGTTGGGTGTTCCCCAGCCTGTCACAGGATCCCAGCCAGGGCCAGAGCAGAAACCCTGACCCTGCACCTCTTCATTCAGACAGGACTCATGGCAGCCACGGGTTACCTAGGGATAAGGTGGGCATCAGATCTGGGCCTGCTGGTACCAATACTGACAGATTATACCCCCTCACCCTGTATTCAGATCCCAGAGACTATCCTACCCCATCAGACTGCTCTAAGGTTTATCTTAGCACTCCCCATACTCTTATGAAAAGGTTCACACAACCTCCCTTCCACACTCACATCAAAGAGTCCTGCCCCATGCTGCTGGTAGAGCCTTGGGTTGAGAAAGCCAAGAGGGGGGCGGCCATTGAGGATTCTGTGTTCATTTATCAGGGATAGGATCCCTCCAAACACTGGAGTAGAAGCCTGCAAGGGTGCAAGTAATTGGATTTTTGGGGAAAGGATGTTTGAAAGGATCAGAGGTCTCTGAGAAATCAGGGGTTCTGGGCACAAGGTCTTGGGGGTACAGGCTGAGGGTAGTTTCTGAAGTTTTGAGGCCAGGCTGATTCTCACCGAGGTGCCAGACACCCATGGGATAGGCACGCGGTTGCTGACCACCCAATAGCCATCAGAGAGTGCAGCCACATCTGGGTAGGCACGTCCATTGGCATTGAAGTAACTGGATGGTGGCAACTGGGGGCTGGAGCTCAGGAATTTGGCTACAGCTTCCTCCTGAAAAGCATCGTTGAGTGAGTATGTCTTCTGAACTGGGGATTCCTGACCTCCCCCACTCCATTCCCATCCACCCACATAAACATACACGTACCTGGTATGAAGGTCGTGGGAACACATTGCTGAAGCCGCCGCCACTGATATAGTCAACAACCTCAGTTGTGACTTGGAAAGGATTCTTGAAGGACGTGCCTCCCACCGTGGTCACATAAGGGCTGAGGGCAGAAGACAGCACTCAGATTTTAGGGGTCCTAAGGGTACCTCCAAAATGGATGGCGATGGCCTGGGAGTTGCTGGAGGGGCTGGACTCTGTGGGGAAGCATGTAGGTAGCAATGACTAAGGTCTTGAGCCCCGAAGGCTTGGCTGAGCCTAACAGAACATACTTTTCCTAACAGAACACTCACCATACCTTCCACTAAAATGCCTGGGACCTGAGAAAGAGAAACACTGGGAGCTGTGTCCTACTCAGGAGACATGGGGCCTGGGACCTACTGGAAGAAGAGGGGAGTTCAGCAACCAGGGCACGTAAAGCTGAGGCTGAGCCGTAGGAGCACCCGGTGGGGTCAAGGCAAAGGTTCTAGATCATCAGGTCACAGATGAAAGGCTGCTGGTCACAGATAAGTGGTGAGCTGGGGTGCTTACCTGGAGGCAGGAAAGCTGGGACGGAACTGGTGTCTTCCAGAGGTAAACCAACACCCGGCCCCACTGTCACCTGAGAGAGACCAAGTTTAGCACTCAGGTTAATTGGTCAGAACTTGGTATGTAGGTTTGGCTGTCGGAGAGGAATTCAAGAGTTAGTAGTCCTTGCCGAAACCAGTTTGGCTCAGTGGATAGAGCGTCGGCCTGCGGACTGAAAGGTCCCAGGTTCGATTCCGGTCAAGGCCAGAGCAGAA